CATTGTGAGTCAGGTGTTTCAGATTCATGAACAAAAAGGTCATCATCATAGGAAATATCAAACTGATCCATGACAGGGTTTGGGTCTTCTTCATATTCACTGCTACTGCTACTGGTATAGAAAACATCATTGTCGCTATCAGAGGCAGTCTCACTGTCAGAGTCTAGCAATAAGTATCCTGACTCTGAAAGGCTATTTTCCTTGACAACTGTGTCTAGAAAAACTTGTTCAGAAGAAGATTGAACATCACGTTGTCTTGATATGTTTATGTTTTCATGGATTTCTTCAGTTGTTACTGTTTTATCAGGTGTTGTTTGGGCTAAAGGGATGACAAGTAGTACATTTAAGAAGCAAATCAAGCAATACCATGACATGAGGAGAATTAATGATTAACAGTCCCTGAAAGCTCATGGAAGTATGTGGGTCGAAAGAGGGGGGGGGGGGGGGGGTCCACAAATGCCCTGACATACTGTATAATCACTAATTTCCTGTTATTAATTTGTAATTTACCATGATTACCAATGGTTTGATTTAACTCACTCACAGGCAATTTGACTGACTAACTCACAGGCAATTTGACTAACTCACAGGCATTTGTTGCAGGTGATGTCAACCTGGTTTGGATATCACCCTAACATTAACCCAAATCCTCACCCGCAATGAATGCCAGTGAGTTAGTCAAACTGGATCATCAAGGTAAAACTCATTTAGATGTTATATGATTTTGCCATGTACATACAAGTGGTATGACGCTTCTCACAGCATGAATGAGCCACAGTATTCCAAGCAATGGAGACTAGATTAATTCTTTATCACATACAACTGATGTTTGTTGCAGTGAAATGAATTAAAATTATGCCATGTCTTTGACCACTGTCCACTGGCACTGTTTACCTGGAATTTCTGTACAGCAATGAGGGGAATTATTAAACAATGCTGTTCTTGCTCTCGTGGGCATTGATGTGCATAATTGAGGGTTGAATGGGTTGAACTCACCTTCATCACACAATTCAAAACTATAAAATATAACACCAAAAACTAAGGCTTAGCACCTGTGAAAACGCCGCTAACCGATTAAAATAATAAGTTAACCTCACCTTTCACAAGTATTGTTTAAACACATCTTGGCAGCTTGATCATTATTCTCACCAATATTTGCCAAAAGGAAGGAGGCAAAGTCAGTGTTGTTCGAGAAACCCTGCTATTTGCGTTTAATATGCCATTCTTTGTGAATGTTTGTATGAATGGAAATCGACTTCCACAAAAGACTTTGCACACCTGAGTAGCCTGCTTTGTAGACTTTCCTCCTACCACAGCCTAACCTTTTCCCACCTTTGACTTTGCCTCGACAGTCTCTTCTTGTTATTGTATTTGTATTCTATCTTTTCGAACCTTCATCAATCCTCCGAGCTGGTTCACTTGGAGCCCGGAAATGAATATCATCTGATGAATGACTAATTTCCATATTAAATTAAAATACTTTAGATTTGAGAGTTGACATGCTTATTTATACTGTAATTCGAGCATGACAGTGTGAGTGTGACGTCCGCCATCTTGAATTTACCTGCGAGCAGGTATCTATCTTGAATTCTGCTTAATTGATTTCCTAGTTAGTTTTTTTCAATTAAAATGGTCGTAATGCGCATGCTCGTGTACCCTGAACTGTGCCTTTAACATTTTGATCGCAATGAGTTAGTGTTCTGTACACTATCAACTTTGATATATACATCAAAATACTTGCTAAATTTGATTTCTGTTCGCTCTTAAATTGTTTTTATCCTGAAACAATAAACGCTTCATTGATTTACTTGTTAAGAGGAGTTTTTTGTATGTTATGTAACACACGCTTAAAACTATTGTAACTCGATGTTATGACTAAATTCCAATTTTCGATACATTTCTCAATTGGCAAACAAACTTAAAAAGTATGCTTATAAATTCAGAAAGTTTTATTTTGCGTAAAATGTCAATTTATTCGTAATAAGCTCAGACGTATAAAAGATAACGAAAATGGGTGTTGACCAAAATGGATGTGGTTTGGGTGTGGTCGAGGCTTAACTGGAAAAGGGCTTACCTCGAAAGGCTTAACTAGAGGGCTTAACTCTAAGATTACCTACCTCGTTTTTGAAGCAATTCAAAACATTCACAGTTTGTATTTTATCAGACCTATAGATATACTCTGATTTGCTGAAGTGATTCATATTGAATAATATTTTGTTCAATATTTTTCAATAATATTCATGTTTTGAATAATATTTCAAACACTCATTAATAATTCATAAGCTTATTGGCAAATCATGTAAACCATAACATATGTCAACCATAATATATGCCAGTGGCTAAAATGCTCCTATATAATAATAGTATTCTTTATATAAAGAATACTAATAAGGCAGTATATGTCTATTAGATCTGTATTCGTGTTTGAAGACGTTTAATCTTTGAAACTTGTATATAGGTAGTATTTTATTAAGTCTAAAGCCACTAGAGCTGCTCACTCATGACTTTAAACCTAATGAAATACTACTGCTTTTTTATTAAACATTGTATAAATCATTAAATAAAAGTTTTACTCACATTTATAATGTGATATTCACAATAATTTGACCACGTCGTCTCCGATGACCACGGCCACCTCTATTGCCCCTCTTTTTACCGGAGGGGCAATCCTTCTTGATATGCCCTATTTGCAAATGTGACATCCTGTCAAACAGAAAATATTTTAAGACCGTAGGCAGGGTACATAGAATAAGCAATGTTCTGTTAGCATTTTCATTTCAACAACCCCAATTAATCAGTTATAGTTATGTTGGCATTTAATTGAAATTTGAAAGTCTATGTTATATGTCCTATCTATGTTCAAGCATTATTGTCATTGCCATTGGTAGTAGCCTGGAAACATTTGTTTATTCACAATCCTTGAACAAATGCCTGTTTGCAGGCTACATTGGTAATGTCTTGGCATGAATGGATAATCAGTTTATGATTTTCACATGTAATACTACAAATTGCTAATGAATTAATACAGACTATTTAATACATTGCTTAGTTATAACAAAGTCATACACTGATTGAATGCATTTTTTTTAAGGGGCAGATTACATGGAGCACTGTCAACCCCAGGGTTGAACTCCGCCCTGTCGATCGTGGGTTGATCTTTTTGTGATTACATGGAAGATTTCAAACCTGCGGATGAAACTGATACTATAATACCTTTGCAGCATTGATTCCCGGAAATAAAAAGCCTCCATTTTGTGTTCATATAATAAATAGAATAGTTACTATAACGCTTGCTTGAATAACGCATTCATAATTTCAGCCCTGTGTTAAAACAATTATATGACAAAGTTTTCAACCCTACCCTGGTTCCAGAGGTTCTTTACGAGGAGAAAAAAACAAGAGGCAACAAGAAAGAGCCTCTGGTCATATTGGTTGTAAATCCCACTTCTACACTTTATTAGGTTCCGAATTAGAATCTCGCATGTGATTGTCTATTAGTGTAAAAATATGTCAAACCGGTTTGGTAAATAAACAAGCTAATTATAGCTTTTCTAGCTATAATTAGTGTACAGTAATGTTGTTTTCCCAAACCGGTTTGACATATTTTACATTAAGACAAAATCACATGCGAGATTCTAATTCTGAACCTAATCAAGTGTAGAAGTGGGATTTGCAACCGATGTGACCAGAGGCTCTTCCTTCTAACCATTCATTTATTTCGCCTCGCAAAGAGCCTCTGGAACCAGGGCATTTAAACCCAAGCCTGAGTTCAACCCTGGCCAGGGTTGGGATTTCAACTGTGCTAGCTGAAGCAGGGTTAAAATTTCAACCCTGTTTGAACTCGATCATGGGTTGAAAATTTTGTCATGTAATCGAGCGTTTGATTTCGATTGAGTTTTGTATTGCAGACAGGGCTTAAATTTCAACCCGGTCAACAGGGCTGAATTCAACCCCACCCAGGGTCCATGTATTAATCGACAAACAAATCAAGTTAAATAAACTAATCTTACTTCTAAATTCTTTTCTCGCAGCTGGTGAAGTGCTGCGAGATGATGGCGAGGCACTTCTACCTACAAGTCAAACATATGTCACATTGACATTGTAAAAATATACTAATGGTGTTTAATATAACTTTTATCTAAATTGAGAATTATGTGAGTACTAGTATAGCCACTATTGTATGGTCTATATACAGATTATGGGTAATGAACTTGGATTGAAGGAACAAATTCAACTGGTGAAGTGTGAAGATACATGCATATATTAGAATTAGGGACTGACCACTACGGACCATTTTTAAGGTTGAAGATGGGTAGGAAAATATGGTGCAAAACAGCTAAGCCTAAAGCAATCAAACTATTCACTGATCAGGATTTTGCAATTTGTGTGACCCTATGGCTATATTACAAAAATATTCTCGCCCAGACCTCATATCATATATGTGTCATATAAAGAACTAAAACAATAAAAGCTATATTATATTATACGTAGCCATAGGGCAAACAAAGCATTTCAGAATCATGGCAAAATATCCGGTGACATTTGCTTATTAAATATATTTTCGTCCCCAGGCTCCGGAATTTCAAAACAAAAGTGTCAAATATCCTAAAATTTTGAACTTTATTTTGATATGTTTGTGTGATGTTACTCTGAGTGTATATCCACACCGGGCAGGCTTGAAAAATATGCCTGGTCACGGCGGGAATTGAACCTACAACCTTTGGAACACTAGCCCAATTTTCTGCCAACTGAGCTACGCAGTCAGGTCGGTTTGAGTATGTGATATTACGGAACTGAGTCTATTTCCTTCAACATCAATGTAATCTCAATAATATTTTTTTTTGTGTTGGTGTTGTGTACTCAGGTGATTATGATATTTGTGATGTTACTCTGAGTGTGTATCTACACCGGGCAAGCTTGAAAAATATACCCAGTCATGGTGGCCACAGCCAGGCATAAATTTCAAGCTTACCCGGTGTGGATACACACTCAAGAGTAAGATCACAAATATTATAATCATCTGAGTACACAACACCAACACAAAGTGATTAATTACCATCGATTAGCACTAATTACCTCAGTGATTAATTACCATTAATCACTGAGGCTGAGGCGAATAATTGTTTTAGTATAAATTTTTACTGAATTAAACAAAATATCCAAGTTATCCAACTACTAGTTTAATTAAAATTCAGAAATAAAACTGTTTTCGACCGGTTTACGATTACTGTTTTAGTATTGCAGTGTTTCTTGTTCACACACGCTTGCAACATGGCTTCCTGTGTGACTTTTATTGCTTTATTACAGTTGTTTTTTTTCGATTTCTGCTTAGAATATAAACACAATGATGGAATGACTTTTTCACCAGATTAAAAAATAGTTATTTAAAAATAGTAGATTTCACAATTAAAAAATAGTTTCTGTTTAGCATTAATTTGTTCAGGAAATGGCTGAGAAATTTGGTAAATGAAATGTAAAATTATATCGTTCGAAATTAAAAGGTTTTAAATACACTTTTCACTTTACAAGTTTCAAAAACACAATAGTACAATACAGCACAATGAAAACACAACATATCAAAAAAAATACTGTAGTATCGTACAAATTGAGATATTTACAGGATACAAAACAAAATTGTTTTAAAAAGAATATCACAGCTTTTCCCAACATTTGGGATAGTTTTTCCTATTTGTTTGAAGCAAATGTTTCGGAGTTATAAATAAATTTTAAATTGTCTGCGGATATGTTTGACACAGTAAAATAATAAAGAAATCCTACCTTTCAAGTTAATCACAACATTTTGTGCTTTTTTCATTTTCTGTGGCGATTTTTTCAATATATTGTCGATTTTGAAATCAAATTTGCCGAATCATTCTTTTTGAAAAGCATTATTTACTAGTCTGCTAGTAAATAATGCATCAGATTTACTAGTCAACTAGCCAATCAGAACATGCGAAAGCTCATTTGATATGCAAAATTTGTACTAACTATGATGATTATTTTTTTTATTTGTGCATGCCTAGTGATATTTTTTGATTTTCTGCAATCTGATTGGCACAGCAGCGGGCAGCTTTCTACGATACCATACACCTCCGACTATAAGCCTCCACATATATTCAGCTTTTCTTCGAAAATATACGTATAAATATAAATACTACAACATACAGCTTGTCCTTAAACATAAAATTTTAAAAATATACCTTAAATGCCAAGTCTGGACTTAATTCAGTCAAAATTGTTTTTACAAATGTTGTAACAAACAAATTGTTTTTTGGCAACTAAAATTTGTACTTGTCTGTCAAAAAGCATTTTTCAAAGCATGTCCTTGCTGTAAAACGATCCAGAAAATAAATAATTTTACTTAGTTTACCTTCTGTTGTCTTTGTTCAGTAGAAAATCATCTATTGCAATGAAACTAAAAACTTTTTATCCGGCTTTTATCAAGTAGTTTTAGCAGTTTGTCAGCCATGCTTGCATGCACTAAAGTAACAAACGCAACTGATCTCAAACTTTGCAACTGGAATTTTATCGGAATTTCGTAATAACAATGAACCTTCAAATAAAAAAAATAAACACATTATTTACCGTTTAGGTCGGTCCATGCTGAAAAAATATTTTCCCTCGGCCTCAGAAGCGTCCCTCTGCCTTGGGCCGCTTCGGAGACCTCGGGAAAAGATTTTTTCAGTACAGACCTCGCAGCCGGTAAATAACATGTATATTTACGTGCATAGTTTATTGAAGTGAAATTAATCAACTTAAGTACCAAAGGGGTTTAATTTTCAATGGTTTTAGACCCAACTCTTAACCATGAAAATATGCGATTCTGACTAACACTTTTATCGGATTCATATTTGCTCATTTATCCATTTGACATGAACAACACATCATTCAACAGCTAAAAGCCTGATCTTTCCAAATATGAACAATTCATATACAGAGTAATTCAGATACAATAGCGCGCTGAAATTCGATAACCTTTTTTTATACACCCTGTATAACTACAGACAACCAGTGAGTCAAATGATGAAAGTTGGACCCCTTCCAAGGATACATCTACCAAAAGGAAAGTGAACAAGGTCATTCGAGCAAACAGATGAATGAAGTGATTGATTTGAAGAAAAAGGTGGATAATTTGGAGGGAGCTAAAGGAGATAAAGTGAGGAAACCACCTGCTGAGCATGAAGTAAGCACATCCCAAAGGAGGAAAATTTCATGCCCATTGGTTGCGTGCAAAGCTAAGGTTTGTACACCTTCTTAGACATATGCGAAATGTACGTCACTGGACAAAAGAAGCTGCTGCCAAAGTATTATTAAAGTATAACATTTGGAGAAGACTGAACAAAGAACCAAAGAAAAAGGATTATCGTTGCAACCGGAAGTGTCCCACTGGAGATTGCCAAATCCATTGTTCGCCATTTGCCAAAACACTTGCAGAAGGTTCACAAATTAAACAAAGCATCGAAAGAGTACAACCATGTGATTTTAAATGCTCCCCTTGCCCCAAATCATAAGCATGCTATAATTAGGTGGCAAGAAGAGCAGTTGAAGAGAAAGACATGGGATGTAGAATGAAGCCCCTAACATACCTAGGAACAACATGAGGAGGAACACAGTGAAGAGGAAGTGGTTGATGATAGTGGAAAAGATGTTGATGATAACTTTGAATTTGTTTGTGAAAATGAAAGTGATGATGATGATGACATTCTTGATGATATAGACGATCTTAAATTGCAGACCAGATCAACATTACCACCTTTGATTGCTGAATTTCAGGAGTGGTTGGCATCACCTGATGGCAGCAAAAAAGATGAAAAACAGTTATGCAGCATGGTTCCCAGCTTTTTATCATGCTAAAGGTCATTGACGATTCAGAGAACATCCAGTCTCTGTTCGACTTAAAGTTAATTTGTCAAGTGTTCTTGAATGGGTATGTGAAAGGAAAAAAATATGAAGCCGGAACAATCAAATCTTATTTGATAAGCCTGCGGCACTTTTATTCATTTTTGCTGTCAGACAAGCCGGATGGTATCAACTTTAGTTGGTTGGACGGAAGTGCCTCTAGGGAAAAAGTGAAGATGTGGCCTGCATCGTATAAGAGAGAGTCCAGTATGAGAAAATGGCAAAAGCTCGAAGACATGCTGAACCATTTGACACCTTTAAACATCCGTAAATTGGAGAGGAGAAAAGTACAGCGGCTGGGGAGGCAATCAAAATACTTGGACAACATTCCGATTCAACTGAAACAGTCCCTGTTACCCAATCCAGTTTCACTTTGGTTAGGGATTTTCTGTTCACACAAATATTTATAGATAATGCCAATCGACCAGATGTCTTAGCACATCTGACAATGAAGGAACATACCAACATTCACAAGCAAGATGAACACTATGTTATCACAGTCAAAAACACAACTGCTCATGTTCATGGACCAGCTCGAATTGTATTGAGCGATATATTGTATTCTATTGGTGTAATGCAAGCGCATGTGAGAACTAGAATCAATGGTCCAGTTTTCTTGTCCTGGAATCGAAATGCAATGAAGTCTGGACACATCACCAAGGCTGTGCAATCCGTCTTCACGAAAGCTGGATTGGACGTCAAAATAACATCGACATCTTTTAGAAAGGCAGCTGTTACCAAGGTCCACATTGACAACCCTGATATGAGTAGGAAATTGGCTGACCTCATGGCTCATAATGAAGCGACTGCAAAGAGGTATTACCTTCTTTCAGAGAAGACGTCGGTGGAAGTTTCAAAAAACCTTGGCCGGCTGATGTGAACCGACGATGGAAATGAAGATATTACCAGTGAACCTCCTTCGGCAACAAAAGAAACAACAGCAGTTGAGAAAAAGAGAAAGTCTGTAGAGAGTGAACCAGACAAATCATCCATCCGGGAGTGAAAGAAGTAAAAGAATTCCTTGGACTGACAATGAGGCAGCAAAAGTCAAGGAAATATTTAAAGATGGTATCATAAAGAATAACGTAACTCTGGACATTGTTTGTCGTGGTGTTGAAACACATGAAGAGCTTTGTGGTATGTCGCCTGGATGAATTTACGACAAGTTGAAGAAGGATTGCAAGAAATATTGTAATGTAACCTGAGTATCAGGCCGTACATTTTAGGGCACAGGCACGCCTGATCGCGGGCGAAGGGGAGAAAAGTACGGCCTGACACAAAAGTGGCATTTTGCCTGGTTGTTCAGTCCAGAATCTGGACTGAGCACTGATTGGCCGATTAGACAAACGATTTTTAAATCTGTCATTTGATTGGCTGGTGCTAATTAGATTATACTATTGTTGTCGATATATTTTATAACGATCACAACTACAATTATAGCCGGCCCACTAAACGGCTGAATTTAAATTAAAACTGCAGTAAAATTAGAAAATAATCGTAAATTAGCGAAATATATTGCAAATGTAGCTTATATTAAATCGCCATCAGATTGCACTATCGACTGACATAAAGTATACTTAATATATATATATATATACTTTATAATTATACGTCAGTTTGTTGATAAATACGGCAAGCGTCATGTAAAGCTCATTGTAGTCACTGAAACCTCTGCAGAGGAGAGAGCAATCGGGTGGTGATTTAATATTAGCTACATTTGCAATTTATTTCGCTAATTTGTGATTATTTTTGTTAATTTTATAAGTTCATTGCAGTTTTAATTTAAATTCAGCCGTTTAGTGGGCTGCCTATGCTGTAATTAGATTGTTGTTGTCGTTGTGTGAAATTTAAATTTCTCCTGCGACATTTTGATTGGATACTAAATATAAACTTTGCTGTGGGCGGAAAGCGATCAGGTTAAGTTTTGTGTCAGGCTCTATTTGTAAAATTGTAAAGTTTTGAAACTCTGTTATCTTCCCTGAATAGAGTTTGCGGTGCCTTGTCATGCGAATAGCTTGCACGCAAGGAATGTTTGGAATTTTTACGAACACTATTTTTAGTTTTTAATTCTTTTAGGAAACAGACTTGCCTAGATTTAATCTTTATGCCACAAATATTATTTACATCAGAGTTGCATCATAAATTGTGCTCAGATTCAAACAACACAATGTCAATGACTTTATAAAAGTATGTTGTAAATTAGTAGCTTAATTAGATTCAGTAAAAATATATAGTAAAAATTTATATATGCATGCCAATGTTATGACCAAAAAATATGTATAAAGTAAACTGGAACATTTGTATAACAGGAAATACGAACGTTATTAAACAAAACAGGAACTTTTAACATTTTAGTAAATAAGACGGAATGTACGTACGTAAGGGAAGTTTGTGGGTTGACTTGTGGTCAACCAAGTGAGGAAGATGTGCATAATGTGCGTCACACATTGAACTTCCTCTGGGAAAAGTTCCCACAGTATGAAAAGTAATAGAGTATAAATACGAGTGAGATTGTCAAAGAAAGGGAGTGTGTTGAGAGGAGTTGCGATGAGTTGTGAGTGTGTTGTGAAAGAGTGTTTGTATATCGATAGCAGTGATCAGTCATATGTAACAAATGATAATAGAATAAAATTTGTGAAAACCAAAAGCTAGTGCTCCACCCCTAGAATATAGACCTTACTGGCATTTGGTGACACTTTGAGTTGCTTCAGTCACCTGCTCACAGCTCACCCCCCTAAAATTTCTGGCACCACCCCAGTAATAAATATGAAAATCCGTCTATGATATATATAGCTTCTTTGGGTACTTATAATGTAGAATAATGAAAACAATTTTTCGAACTCAAATTTTGTGAACTAGGGGGGGGGTGTCTTTTCCAACAAAGTAAAAATGGCCCGCACACAAAATTTAAAAGTTGTAATCATATTTTGAGTTAATAGATGGAAAATTTGTCGGGTTTTTAATTACTGTACAAAATGTCAGACAATTTGGTTTAATTTAAGCCTTTAAATATTCACGAAAAGTTACATTTTCCCTAAAAATCAGCCATTTGCATGCTTAATTAATGCCTTTGCCTAATTTGCATATGTTAGCAATATGCAAATTAGGTAAAGGCTAATGCGAAAGGCGGATTTTTTTAAAATAAAATGAATAGTTAAAGGCTTAAACTAAACCAAATTGTCTGAAATTTTGTACAGTAATTAAAAACCCAACAAACAACATCTATTAACTCAAAATATGATTACAACTTTTAACACACATACACATATATATATATATTGAGTTGTTTACACAAAAACAAGGTCAAACATACATGCAAAGTGGCAAAGATTGGGTTTTAGGTGGAGATTTTACTCTGAAATTTTTGGGAGAAATTACTAGTTGTGGCAGCTGGGTGTGCTCTTGTACGGCTCAGGTTGTTGTTCAATATGAACAGGGGTACCATATTCTTTTCTCTAATATTTATTAGTCAGTATATGTAAAACAAATTTCGTTCCCCACCAAAAAAAAAACCTTATCCTTTGCTAAACTAGGAGCAAAAATATGGAATAGTATTTGCCCTGAGATACGTAAATTAGGAAAAAACACTTTTAACAAAATAATTAAAAAGTCACTTTTAAACATATTGGAGACTGAGGATGATTATGTTGATAGACCTACGACAATTAAATTAATGACCAAACAATTGGCATCCACAAAAATATAATTATTCTAGAGCAAGACTCGTTTAATATAATCTATGAAATAGGTTTTGCAATATTTCAAAATAATGGTATGCAATATTCTAGTGTATGGCATGCTTCGAAAACATGCATGTTGTACACTGGAAATAAGATCTATATTCATCTTTTGACTATGCTCTACCAATTCACAAAATTATTTCTTCTACGCTATCCACCTCGATTAGCATTTGCTATTTGCGGATTAAGTGTACAGTTTCATTGTATTATAGTGAATAATTAATAAACGAAATGAATGAATGAATATTTGTTAAAATTGCAGCAACAATATATACATTTTGCCAACACTACTTAGCTATATATAGTTACCTAGACATATAAAAATAGACAAAGCCACCATATTTCCCTTACATTTCAGGCAAATTTAGCGTGCTGTAGACTGCCGCGTCGTAGAATCTTAAGGTCGCTATTCTCTCACTTGAAACATATTTTCATATCAAACTGTTCAGTCGTCAACATTTGCATATTTTAACCTTTATCTATTTCTAAAATATGCCATTAGATTTGTTGTTTGCAAATATTGATAATCTTTGTGCCAATTTACTAATAGTACACGTCTTGTTTATTGAAGATTGATACAATTTTGAAGCGTAACTTTTTGTCATACATCACAATGTAAAAAAGTGGACACTGCCAAACAGAGACTGAATGCTCAATTTAAAACTGTTGATGATTTATAACAGTATTTTTCTGATATACAGTACATATTTTATAACACAAACATAGTCACAGATAATTCCATAAACTATGGCATAAACACTGATATCACTCACTTTAATATGCACATGCAGGCATACCCATCACAGATATAACTAGAAGGCACTCAGAGACTGCATACATCCACCTGCTACTCAAAAGTGAAATGCAACCATCGAATTTCCTAAGAAATCCACTTTGTCTAAGCATAAAAGATTTTAGGCCCCCGCAAATTGAAATTGAATTGCTAATAGATCATATTTTAATACTGTTGTTGTACTGTACTTGTACATAAATACATAAATTTTGCTTTATGCACTCGCCTGTGCAGTAATTTTGACAGTTGTGCTATTTTAAATTCCCAGACACCTAATCTTTTGTCCTTAAAACAATGTCGATTTCTTGGGAAATTCCGAGGTTGCATTTTTTTCTACACCCTGTATTGAAGTAATCCAATGTTATTAGAATTTGAATGGACTGGCACTTTGCTGAATGCAATAATGCGTAACTCTGTAAGCCTTGTTTTAGACATTTAATTTCGGTCGCAACTAAGATAATAGAAAATGAAGGCTGAAGCTTGATGAGGTTGATCATCTCATTATTGTCTTAGTCGCCAAAATTTAGCGTATAAAACGTGCCTAAAATATTGCCAGTGTGTATATAAAATTAAGAAATTAGAATATATTTATAAAGCACACGATTTTAGAGCAGCCTCTCTTATATAAGTGAGAATTACAATTGTATACAATCTAAAAAGATACTATTAATTAATTACATTATTTGTATAAAACTGACAACTTTGTTATTCAAATTAGCCGAGAAGGTATCAGTTTTTTTACTCACCCTGTATACCTTGTACAGTATACTGTGTGCATAAATTATACAAGTCCTAATTACGCATTCAGTAACTTTTTTTAATTGACCTGGAAAAGCAAGACAAAATTTTGTTCATTTCTCGTTCAATTTTTAACCAAATTTTAATCAGTTCTTTGGTATTTTTTTAGTTATCTTGCTGACATACACACATACAAACCCAGATGATTACATAACCTCCTGGTGGAGGTAATAACACTTACTTAGTCTTAGAGTTTGACTCAGTATTATATTTCACAAAGCAAAAAATTTCTCACGTATTACTGTAACAACATCGATCAACAAATTACATTAAACTAATGTCACAATTAAAGCTATTCATCAAATTTATCATGCAGACTTGCAATCAAATGCAGTATTCGTATTTGTAACATACAGGCACAGAGAGTTTTTAATTTATCTTTGAGTAGGCTATTGACTATTGTCGGATTATTTTACAGTAAGTTTGATAACAAGGAGGGTATACTTATACATATTTCTTGAGCATCAAGTTTCAGCGAAGTCAGTGCCAATGGCAATGTTGGAATTTGGAAATTTCACAATGCTTTTAATAACAGTCCGAGTAGCAGTAAAAGCAAGATAGTTTGTGATATTTCAGAAATCAAAGGATCTCTCTATTTCGTTAGAAATCTTTAGGATAAACATCAACAACACTGGTTGGTATACCGGTGTAGAATTATATATATTTTTAACGTTTGCGACTTGCGCTTCAACGAGCCGTATCGGCATACTTTGTCTATTGAAATCTGATCTATCTTTGCTGAACGACATTCTGTGCACAATGAAATTTGATGCTCATTATTGTTTAACTTGGTAGAAGTCATGACAAATAAAATATACAATCTTGTAAATATTTTCTGCATGATTTCTGCATTATTTCTTCGCTTACTCCTTGCACAATGACAAAACCTACTTAGTTACCCACCCTAATAGAAATCTTTTGCTATCTCCCAGACTCTGGGAGACATGTGACCAGTCGATACTAGGGTCTTGCGACGGTTGACGGAGGTTGAACCGTCCACTGATTTAGTTTTACACAAACCGGAATTTATTTCTGCTCGAGAGCTCACAAAACAAAGAAAAATTTTTATAGTGAAAAACAGCCAGAAGTGACTTCTATCACACAATTTCTAGTTATACAATATTATCCTACATATTACATTATATATATCACAACCGAACTGAACCACTCACTATATTTGAACAAGGGTTTGATGTGATAATTTAATTTATAAAAAGCACAAAAGCTAGCAGTAAAATTTCCTTAACAGTACTATTGATTTGTAGTACTGTCACAGACACAGATTAGAATGAAATGCTAAACTCCTACTTACGTAAATACCACAATCTATATCTTTCTGTACATTTATTTATTTAGCTTTGCCAACTAGGGCAGGGTCACCACAACAGCATATGCCAATTACTGTGGGCCCTTTTTTACCTAACCCACCCTGTCAACTTTCCCTGTGGGAGGAAACCGGAGTACCCGGGGAAAACCCACGGCTTTCGGCAGAGCGTTGACTTTTACTCTTTCCACATGGGGACTGGGTCCGAGTCGCACTGAGAAGGTACTTAGTGAGACTCGAACCTGCAGCCTCAGAGGTGAAAGGCAAGTGCGCTAACCACTTGGCCACAGAAGCCCCTTACATTCTATAGGATATATGCTATAAGGTATATGCATGCCAACTAGAACTCTAAACTACACTTGTTCACAGACTGCGATTAATTAAAATGTCTTTTTACCATTTGTTATTGATAGATGAAAGTTCAGTTCTGCTACTACATTCCACCATTGAAGAGCGAAATGTTGGGAAACCCTTCAGGCTTGATATACTTTCTAAGGCACAGGGTGTCAATCGCTGGCAACATTCTTTATACTGCTAGCTGCTGGAGATCAAAATAAAACAGGAACATCAGTGTAAGTTAATTAGAATTATATATTTAATGCACAGAAATTCAAGCACAATAATAAGGTATTTGATCCAGTTGGTTAACCATTAAAAGTTTAGTCACTTAAATGTTATAAGTTGCAATATTGGTGCACTGACAACTTATGCTTTTTGCCTATTTTGAGCGATGATAGGAAAAATCTTGTCTCAAACTAATGTTGTTGTGATGATAGACGACCCGATCATAACGCCAGGAATGGAAGAGTTTCTTTTACAGTTTCTTAAACAGAAAGCGGTCTCTCTGCAGGGTCAATAACAGCTGGATTGGTGACACCTCAAGGAAGCTTGCTTTTGACCTCTAACAACATGTTTTCAATAGGTAATATACAATATATTTGTAACTCAATCAATAAAACCTAACATGCACTTTATTGTGCCAAATGAAAAGAGCTTCTGAACACACAAAATCATTAGGTATATCACAGCTCAACAAAGGTAACTGAAGTATTCAACTTCAGCACACAGTTGTGTGCAAATTATATGGTATTACGCGCGTAATTTTTTTAGATGAAGAAGAAAATGGGCAAATACTGTTTAATGTTTTTAAAAGCAAGTGCATGGCATGTCCACATCAAATATAGAGTCAAATATGAGTTTGATAAAAAAATTTTAGTGAAAATTGCTTTATCACTTCTGCAAATTGAGCATTAAACTATTGCCAAAAATCAACTCTCTTTATGACTTAACTTTTATGTTTGCATTTTTAATATTTTCAGAGCTGATGGTAGGATAATCTTTCTAAAATATCACAAGACACCATTCTCGGTGGACGACAGAAAAAACTTAATGCTGGCATTGGGTCAACAGCTGAAACACACACGGTATATATGCTATGTATAGTTACCATTTTGCCGTGGTGAAATTGAAATTTTAAAAGAAAATTGAATTATCTATACCATAGAATGTAAACATATTATGAAATACTAGGACAAAACATTCCTCAAGACACTTGAAACTACAGTTGAAAAGTCCGAAGTTTGAACTAAGTAGGAAGAATCATGGCCATGTTTCGAGATGAAACATCTTTCAAGACTCTTTTTATTTTAACATTGAGTACTTCTTCAGATAGGTGTTTAGGTTGACGCAACTAACCATAATAATCCAATTTATAGACGACAGGATACAGGCACAGACCAACGATACCCCCATGCATGCACATAATTCAGATATACTGTATATACGACTATACATATATCACATTACAATATGGGCGACAAACAACAAGCCACAAAGCGCTCTGCGCAAAATTTAAATAAAACGCACCTATGTACACCTAGTAAACCAGTAAAAAACAAAATTCAAAAACCTAACACACCAGACAGAAGAATGAGGAAAAAGAGAAGGAGATAGATATGTGAGAAATACAACAAATGTTTATAATCGTGATGGGGAAATTAGTGAAGCTTGACGGCATAGAGGCTGAATTAGTGAAGCTTGACGGCATAGAGGCTGACATGAAAGAAATAGAGCGTTTATTAGTATACACGCACGCCGAAATAGCAGATCTAAAAAGAGAAAATGAAACCACAAGAGCAAATCAAGAACAAGCAAGAACCAAATTGGAGAAACTTGAAAAAGACAACACGACATTACGCGATAAAATAGTAGATATACAAGCAAGATCAATGCGAGACAATCTGCTGTTCTCAGGTGCGGACAAAAAATTATTAGTTTCCAGTGCCTTTTGTGAAAGTAGCGAATTTAGGCGTACAATTTCCGTCTTTTTTTCCGAACATGGCGTCGGAAGAGAGTGGTGTTTATTTTATATACTGTATGGTATTAAATTGAAGATTGGCAAGAAACTGTTTCTGTATTAATACCGATCGTAGTTATAGTTCGTTTAAAGGTTTGTATTCTATTTATTGGTACTGTTTTCCTAGTATAGCCTTTACGGCTTTATAGTTTTGCTTTGTGTATATTTATATATTTTACAGTCACTATAAAAACATTAATACTGCCATTGAAAGCCAGTATTAGGAAGGATTCTAGCTTGTGTTTATACTGATTCTAACAATGGCCATAGCCCAAAATAGATTTACTCACAAATTTCTGGGAGTATTAAAAATCATAGTCTTACCTGCTGAGAGTTGCTATGAAAAGTGAGCCAACCAGATGTCCAGATACATTCCTTTTATTCCCTTTTAAGACTTTTAAAATCAACTGCAATACGTACATTCTATAATTTTTACCAAGAACCAAACACAAACAAGACTGTGGAGACAAGAACGCTTGTTATGGCCTTGTCTCCACTTATTTTAATACATTTAATTAATTAATTGAAGAATCAATTTCATATGATACAAATATTTACATCTTACAGTATGTTTGGCATACACTGTATTCACTCATTTTAGTGATCTTTATTATTAAAATATGTAGGACTTATCCTCAGAACGGCGATCACATTTCAATACTATTCAAACATATTTCATGTTCCATTAGATCTGGATAGCTATTCAATGTATACTGTGCACATCCATATATAAAGTAGCTTTGCCATCTAGCTGGGCCATTTGTGATATGAATTTTTGTCCAGTGCAGTCGACTATTAAAAATTGATAACTTTATATACTACATTATTATTGATTTGATAATTTTAATAGTGTTGTATTCAATTTTAACACTAAGTAATTATACAGCATTTGATTAATAATAGTAAATTTGTTAATAATATATTTATATAACTCTGTTAGTTAAAAACAGAGTTAAGATTGAACTGGTTGCCAAAAGACACAATATCTTGACAACCTGCTGCCGAAAGACGATTCATCTTGACAGCACAAGAGTTTCCACTATGGCTGTGTTTCACATAGTTTTTACAAGCTATTAGATTTTATTATTAAGTTATTTATATTATTTAAACAAGGTGTACTCAATACAGTACTCATTAATTCCTTACATGTTAGCTACCGTATATCTTTAGCAAATACCCAATAAAAACGCAGTTAAGATTCAACTGGTTGCCGAAAGACAGAATATCTTGACAACCTGCTGCCGAAAGACAATTCATCTTGACAGCACAAGAGTCTCCACTATGGCTGTGTTTCACATAGTTTATACAAGCTATTAGGTTTTATTAATTAAGTTATTTATATTTATATTATTTAAACAAGGTATTCATTAATTCATTGCATGTTAGCTATATATTTAGAAAATACCAGCCCATTAAAAACACAGTTAAGATCCAACTGGTTCCTGAAAGACACAATATCTTGACAACCTGCTGCTGAAAGACGATACATCTTGACAGCACAAGAGTTGCCACTATGGCTGTGTTATAATTTTGTTAGGATATTGTGTACATGGTACTACATTTTATTCCTAAATTATACATGGTGTTAAATATTACAATCACTGTGTTGTTGTTAATTACAAAATTTAGAATCTTTACCATAGGTACAATATAATTTTCGCTCAAAATTTAGATCTGATGAGTAAAATCATCTGACATTAGACTGAGTAAAATAATAACGTAGGGTGCATTGCCACACAAAAGGGTTAAATTGCAGGTATTTTACATAATCCATTTAACTTTTGATCATTTCATTTTTCAGAGCTCTACTGGACAGTACGTCAGTTCTTGTGAATATTCTGAGCATTCAATGTGGTTAAGATTTTCAGAAGTGTGGGCCTTTGTTTTGGTTTGAGATCAGTAGCTGCATTTCCTAACTGTGAAAGGATGGTGCTATTGATTTTCTTAGCAACTGCCTTGAGGACTCTCCCAAGTGAATATATATCGCTGGCAGGTGTAACAGGGAACCCCTTCAAGACTTCTGGAGCAATATGCTTGTATACCTCCTTGTATCTCTTGGCCTTTGGTCGGGATATCTCACAAACTTTACCAAAATCAATTAGAAACCCTTTATTTTGAGCAACTAACACATTATTGGATTTCAAATCACAGTGAAGATATCCCCTTTGGTGCATGTGGTCCAGTGCATCGGTAATGTCATAACATAACAAAGCCATGTTTCAGTGGACATTTCTGAAGCTTGATGTTCATAATGTGGATCAAACAACAACTTGAACACTGTGATGGACTTACTATTCTCACCAATAAATTCCATTATGAGGGAGAATGGTTTCTTTTCCAGCTGGATACTGCGAAGCAGTGGGATGCATCTGTGAGAAAACTTTTGCATGAATGATGCCTCTTTGTACAACATATCAACATTGTTATCAGTGTCAATCAATTGCTTTTCAACAATATTAATACTTAGTCGCTTGAATTTCCTCAAAAAGCAATTTCCAAAAACACCATTCCCAATTGAACCTGCATCAATTTCCTCCAATTCATCTTGCCTGATAATGTTAATATTTGAATTGGACATGTTCAATTGAGTTACCTGTAAAATATTTAATTTGAAACTTATTAGTAATTAAAAGTTTTGTTCTGTAGTTCAAATTAGGCTATGTTGCCTAATCTTTGCCAGCAAAGTACAGTCATGACCAAATACTTGTGCAATGCAAACACTAATATCTTGTAAGCATGTGCATGAGTTATTCCTTTGTCATACACATATTCCCCCTGCCCCCTTTCAATGTTGGTGTTGTGGTTAATAGGTCTCGTCACACCATATACATTATGACTAGATCAAAATACAGCATTGAAAGGGGCTAACCAATTTAGTTAGCAATTTTTCATTACACCTGAGCGGGAGCAACTTTTACTGTAAAGCCTTGGCAGGGAGGGGGCAGTGGCGGCGCCACTGAACATTGCAATACATCCTTCACTGCAGTTGCTTCTTTCTTTGGCAAATGGAATGGAAGTTCTGTTAAAACATTCTCAATATGCTTCCCTATGTCATGCAATGGCTCAAAACTGAGTACTTCATACTTCCCACAGTTGATGGATTCAAGGGTAGATGTTGGGTTGGTATAAAGTAAAGCCGGTACTCTTTGAACGCCGTGCAGTTCCTCTGTCAAAAGCTTCTCAAGGTCTTTCTTGGTTTCCCCCTCATAAATATGCCTGGCATTCAGTTCTCTAATTAGTTCATCTTTTTTCAAATTTTGGAATGGCTTGGAAACTTTTGCCAGAGAATTTTTTCTTCCCAAGGGTCCAGAAGCACCAGTTGTTGTCGCTCAGTCAAAGACAAGTAGTGACAGGAAAAACAAATATCCAGATCATATGCCTGTTGTGCTTTTGCACCGCATCCAGAACAGTAAAAGTTCCCTCCTTTTTGTTGACCGGATTCAAGTTGTCGAGCTGGGCTATCACCATGGAAAAAGCGCATTATATCATTTACAACATTTCCAGCATTTGTTTGCAATTTAACACTGAGATCTTCCAGGCACTCAAGACGTGTGTCAATATAAGTTAGTTGTTCAACGTCTGAACTTCCTGACCTGGCTACTATGTAGACTTCAGGGGTCTCGACTTTTGTTTGAACATCCACTTTTTTACAGCCTGTAAGGTTTTGGTACTCTGCATTTGTATAGTGCACTGCAGGATCATAAAGGGATGACACCATAAATACCAAATGACCATGGTTTGCAATTGTGGAAAGATCATGCCGAATCCTAATATGCCTTGTCCTTTCAATGTCTTTCAGCCTATTCTGCATTGATTTTAAACTTTCTCCTTCATTGTACTCATCGATTGCCTTCAGCAATGTTGTCACACTTTCATGAGTCATTATGCCATATTCGTCATCAGCACGATGTCGCATGAATTTCTCTTGGTTTTTCAGAGTTCTTTCCCTAATTTCAATCAAGGGCTGCTTCCGTCCTTCCACCACAAACTCGGTTTTAACAATCTCCCCATTGTCATTTAATACCATCTTTTCATACTGAAATTAAAATAAATAATTATGTAGATTGAAGAAATTGGTTTCAATAAAGTAAATAATTATAGACAAGTATTTATTTGCTTTCCTGCACATCTGAATTACTTATAAGCAGCGAGTGGTAATTTGACTTAAATATAATAATTCTGAGTAATGATTGATCAATTGTTAATTTTTGTAAGCCTCCTATCTGCATAACTTAGTTGATCACCAGTTCTATACTGTCCGGGACGGCTAAGTTTAATGTTGATTATTCATTACTGACATTGATACTAGCTACAGTATTAGTAAATTTTATATAATATAGTTGTAACATATGTGTGCAGTGTAGATAAGTGCTCACACAATTAAACTGAAATAATGAACAGTAAAGTCAGTGCTTAATAAAAGAAAACATTGTGGCTGTTACCTTTCTTGGTGCAATTTGCTGTCCAACAGAATATTCCCCTAACAAGATTTTTCCTCTCAACTCAGCCTTCACACTGTCAATACTTTGTGGAGTTGCAACTGTGATCTCTCCCCCTTGTCCCCTGAGTTTCTTTCTCCGGATTCTCTCAGAATTTCCATCATGTTTTCGCTTAAACCTGGTAATATTGATTCCCTCTGACTTTAACCATTCTTGGGCTATTTGACCCCCATTCTTGGCTAGTTCCCCTTTTGTGTTCTGTATGTTGTGTCTTCGAGCAAGGTCTGACCAGTTAACAACCATGCCATCAGGATAACTTTCCACCTCTTCTTTGATCTTCTCTCTCTCAAATATTTTATTATCCAGCTTAATTCCAACAGGATTTCTCTTTTTTGTTGTCGTGTTTATCTTCTTTCGTTGTCTTGAAGCTTCCTTACTTTCAAATGCCATGGCAAGGCGCGATCGCTGTGCAGCTGCCAAAGATTGGCGATTTCCATAATACCTAGTAAATAAGTAAATTGAACATTAATTTTATGTGGGCTAGACTGTGGGGAGGCAACTAGTAAAGTGATAATAGTTGTAATATTTTTACAGACCTAGCAGGAATTAATTTACTGGGGTTCCGGGGTGGGGGGCGGTGTTGTTCTCCACTACCCTTGGCAAAGGGGGCCTATTTCATTAATAAATCCACTTAAATTTCAGTTTAGATTTGGCAATATCCTGTCTCCATTATCACAATAATAATGCCCTTGAACTCTGCCAGAGGCAATATTTCCATGTTCTCTGGAACACTCCTGGATGTGCACCACTAACCCTAACCTGCCCCCAAGGGCCCCCTTCCCCAACAGTGCTCAGATTTGGCAGGATCCATCCTTGAGCCTGACTGCATGCATTCATTTGTATCTTAGCCTTATGCAAAATAGCTTGTATATATTATATACCTTAGTTTTTCACCTTATTATTGTCAGGAATTTTGCTTTAGTACTCTTAATTGTGTTAATGATAATGCAAACTTACTAATTAAATAAAATTATAGTTTAATAAAGATACCTCATTACAGATGTATTCTTCCAGTGTTTTTCTATTGTCTTCTTCGCCTGTCGTAATTGTTTACGTCTGTCTCTTTTTTTTTCAGCTGGATTCTTCTTGCTTTGAATGTTTAACGAGGGAATTGTTGTCAGGGCTTTTTCTAATGGTACGTTAAAAACACGCTGAAACGCAGGATTGATCTCGTTGTAGATCTTTTGAGCGCCATCTTGATACTCTCGTCGTGTGCAATTGACTTTGACTGCTTTTCGACTCGTATTGGCTGCGATATTCTGAGCCACAATCACTGGATTTTCTTCGAGACATCCTTGGAATTTCTTGGATTGCACTGGAAAGAACGACTGGTAGACTGAATATCTGTGGAAACAGCCACGACGGTCCATCAAGCTATGCTCAGCCTTCTGTTCGACCGATAGTGCCTTCCAGTTATCAGCCAAGAATGCTTCAAGGTATTGCTCACGTTCTTTCTTTTTCCTTAGATTCCAAGTAGTGAATTTTTTACGCAAGTCTGGCAGTTTTCTTTGAAGCGTTTTAAAGTCAACCGAGAATTTTTTGTTGGTAAACGTTAGACCGAAACGTTCATGGATGATTTGCACACTACGTACGCGATGCTGATATGGTGTTTCATTGTCGTTGCGTTTTATCTTCTCCGTAACATCTTTTGTGAAGTGCCAAATAGCAGCTTTAGCGAATCCACATGTGTGTGGATGTACAAGACTTATTACCATGATAATTATGTTGGAAACTTTGCAAATATTATTGATTGTGCAAATCGAGAAGCTACTCTACCGAAGCAAATTTTGAATCTGGCGCCTAAATACAAGTCATGCGCGCGTCATTGTGACAGGCCTTATCTATAATCTGCGCTCAGATATGGATCAAATTCCTTTTTCTGGAGAGCCTTGGAATATTTTTAACCTGGGTATGCTAATGCTATTAAGTATAAATTAATATCACATCACTACATTTTATAAAGACGATCATATTGACGTTAAGTCAACTTAGTTATGTAAAAATGCTTGCCAGATTTCAAACGCGCGTCGCTTATTGAGTTATATAATGCTTTTACTAAGATACCGCATCTAACATTATCGATTTGAACGATGTTTAGAACCTAATTTTGCTGAAAATGTACAGTTTATCTGGTCTGGTTATTATGGTCGCCATTTTGAGCGTCTTGCGTTGTCATAGTAATTCGTTATACCACTGCATCAGTAAACCAAGGCTCAATCGACAAAAATGGCGGTCGCTTTGTGATGTATTTAGTTGCAAATATATATATTCATTGGCTTTGCAGGAGAGGTTTTTATTATCAATCATTAAAGGCTTAGGCGCTAATTATCTACAAAATACGTCCAACTTCTTGAGAAATATCGTAAACCGAAAACATTTTGACTAGAAGTAGCTTTAATTAACGAAAATATGCAAGTAGAAACGCGTGTTTTGACTTTGGGTCCATTTTACGCAACAATAACACAACATTTTCACTGATACAAGTTTGAATATGTTAGAAGAGTTCCTTGGCAATCTATTTGTAATTGAATGTTTCGGTGAGAACCCGCTAAATCATTCCCTGCAAAGCGGTTGAAAAAGTTCCATGTTTTCGTTGCTATTTTTAGACCAACAACTGGTCACGTGACACGTTTTTTAAAATTTTGGGTTAAAAAAATTCTAAAATTATATTGAGTAGCATTAACGCCCAAAACCCTGTCAATTCATCTTAAAATCGTTGTAAATAATTTTTCTTTTATTTTTCATGAATTAATGTTCACTGTGAAACCTGACCCAGTCATTAACGCACCTGAGTTTTTCAATATACCAGAACAAGACAAAGAAATCACAACGGGGATTATCCACAACTTACTGGAAACGAAGTTTCAAATAAAGGACGCAAAGGAGGTAATAAAGATCGACCGGTCCCATACAATTGGCAAGAAAAGAGAAGGAAACCGAAAACTGTGACCGATTGTGGTTAAATTTAATTACCACCAAGACCAAGAGCATGTGCGGCTTAACGCGAAAAAGCTACAGGGAACAAACATCGGGGTATCTGAGCAGTTCCCTGAAGAAATAGATAGTGTGAGGAAAGCATTGTATCCTGAATTAAAAAAAGGTAAAGGTAAGTTAAAAGGGCAAAAACTTGTTAGAGACAAATTAATAATAGAAGGTCAGGTCTTCAATAATAAGTCTTGAATTACTTGAAACATGATAGACAAATCGTATTATAATAACACTCACAAAAGGTTATTATATATAGTTTACTACTTATTCCAAATATTGCACTAACATCTTCCAATGAGTACTGTTACCACTACGCACAAGAAGAAATGTTCTTGCTCCAAACCTATCCAAAAAATGAAAAAATTTACTGAATGTTTAAGACGCAATAATTTGTTTCACGCTGTGCCGGCATGCACAAGGTCACTCAACTTAAATGATAGTAACATAATACCTACCTTCTATTCTTCTTCTAAAACTTTCACTTTCGTTCATTATAAACATTTATTTTGTAAATTAATTTCAGGAATTCCGATTCTGAAGGTTAATATTTTATTTAATTTGCTATGTTTCAAGCAGTTTATGAAGTCAAGAAAGACAGAGAACAAACGGATGAAAGAAAAACATATAAGAAAGTACAAGTCATTAGTAGAAGAGAAAAGAAAGATAAAAGAAAAACAGAAAGAAGCGTTACAAGACCAACAAAAAATGAAGGAAACAAAAATGAAGACTGACGATGGATGGCATTGATAAAGATGTGAAACAATATCTTGCTTTAGGACCTGATTTTTGTGAGGCCCCTAGACGAGTACCGTATGAAGAGATAATTACAGAAACTGAGAAAGTCTGCTCGATAATAAAGAAAGAAGGTAAATTAAAGAAACTGCGGAAGAAGAGATTGAACTTGAGATCAGCGAGATATGCGAGAAAGTAAAAACGGTTTTGAAAAAGGCGGTTAAAAAGACGTTTTGAACAAATATGACTAAAAAAGAAAGAACTGGTAAGACAAAGTCAATGAAGGACGAGAATAAAGTATACTTACCGGCAGACAAAGGAAGGATAATGGTTGCAATGGATAGATGGGAAAGTCAAGGAGGAGAAAATTTGTACGAATTCAAGATGAAACAAGTACTTGTTGATTTGAAAGTGAAACCATCTATTAGAGCGGGAAAAGATTGGGATTTAATGGGAAAGGTATGCAGGGATGGAGCTAAGATTATTGAAAATATTGTCCAAAGAAATGAGTTATCGGAAGAAGATGGTGGTTATCTAAAACCGAAAGATTGTCATGCTCCAAGATTGTCAGGTTTACCAAAAATACACAAAGAACGAGTTCCATTGAGAGGTATTGTGTCAACGGTAGGATCCCCATTTGAAAGAATTTCCAGGTACCTAATACCTATTTTACATACAATACAAGGACGAAGTGGACTGTTTGTTAAGAATTCGAGGGAGCTTAAAGAGAGAGTCAAGAAATGGAGGGTTGAAGGAGACAAGATTCTAGTGAGTTATGACGTGAAAAATCTTTATCTATCTATACCAATTAAAAAAGCACTGGAGTTAGTCGAGAAATTGTTGAAGGAAAGCACAGCACTGAAAGATGTAACCAACTTAAGTGTTGATTCGATCATGGATTTATTAAAATGGATGTTCAACCTCACTTACTGTGAATAGAGTGGACAACATTTTGTTTTGGGAAGTGGTCCGATTGGACTTGGAGCTACAGGTGAAATAGCGATCATCTACATGGAGGAATTTCAAATCCAGGCAATAAAATCTTCACCATATCCTTTGGACCAATGGTACTGGTATGTAGATGACAGTGAAATAAAATGCCATAGTGATGACTCAGAAAAGATTCTGCAACATTTGAATGCTATGGAAGAGAACATAATCGTATTTACAAAGGAAGAACAAAAGGAAGAAAGCTTACCGGTGCTGGATTTGAAACAGAATGTAAACAGAGAAACGGGAGAGATTGAGTGTACAGTACACCACAAGAAAACGCATACCGACATAAATGTGAAAGAGAAATCGAACCATCCACACTACATGAAGAAAGGCATCATCAGAGGCTTTACTGAAAGAGCTCGAGCATTATGTGATGAAAAACATTTGGATGATGAACTTCAAAATATCGAGGATGTGTTTGTAGCGAATGGATATGATAGAACCAAGGTGAGACAGTACATGCACAAAAAGAAAAAGAGTGAAACGGAGGAAACAAAAGAATATAAAGGAGTAGTCAGCATTCCATATCTGAAAGGGTTGTCAGAAACGTTTAAGAGAATAACAGAGAAGCATGGAATTCGAACAACATTTAGACCAGGAAGAAAGTAAAGAGTTGAAAGTACGAGTTCAACATCCGTTAGGAAACAAACAAAAGGCGGTTGTCTATAAGATACCATGTGGTTGTGAAAGAGCAGTGTACATAGGAGAGATATATCGACAATTTGAAACAAGGAAGAAAGAACATGAGAGCAACATCAACAACATAAGACTAAGCCAGAAATGGAAATTATTAATAAAAGGATCATCAATGATTCCAATGTTAAATCATTTGATAATACAATTAAAACTACATCATGGGGGGATGTAATTTCCAACAATAATACTGCAGAGTCTTATAACAATTCTTCAATAAATTCTCTACAGCCTATGAAAAAAATTTCCCATTAACAAAAAAAGTATTAAAAAGGAAATTTGACAAAAGTAAAAGTCCATGGATGACAAAATGCATTACACAATCAGTTAAAAAAAAAGAACAAACTTTATAAGAAATTCCTAAATTGCCCTAGCTGTAATAAAAAATGAGATTATATACAAAAAATATAAAAATAAATTGAATCATGTAATAAAAATAGCAAAAAATAAATATTATGAAGAACAACTAATAAAATACAAGCATAACACAAAATGCTTATGGAAAACAATTAATGAAATTATGAATAAACATAGAGACAATAGAATTTTACCAAAGGAATTCAACAGAGACTCTTCAGATGAAATCATTGATGATCCATACAAAATAGCAAATAAATTCAACGAGTATTTTGTAAATATTGGACCGGGTCTAGCAAAAAAAAACTTCCAGACAGTGAAATAACCTTTGACAAATATCTGACTAATAAGAATAAGAATAATTTTTATTGAGCCAGTAACCAAATATGAAATCGAAATTGAAATACAAAACTTAAATTCTAAAAAAGTCCAGGCTATGATGGCATAAGTTCTCAAGTTATTAAGACCACAAGCAGCCCAATCTTATGGTGTCCTATCCCCGCCAAAATTCTAACTTTTCATTTGTGATACACCTTTTTAAATTTGACATCCAAGTTTTTGTAACTTGTATACAACTTTTTCCATTTTATACACAACTTTTTTTTCAGTCAACTTCTATTTTATATACAAATTTTTGTATTTTATATACAAGTTTTTCCATTCAACTTTTTATATTTGACATACAACTTTTTGTATTGGCAACTTTTTATATCCAACCGCAATCCAATAAGAAACATACTGCAGGCTCATTGTATCAACCACTGACCAAAATTCCACAGGCCCTTCAGTTTTAGCGCCATTTTTTTGTCTTTCATATTTACGTACTTTTACAGTCTTTTAACTCTTTTTATATACAGCCTTTTTAAAACATGGACGAGGAGGCTGTAGAGTTCATTTTGGAGGTAATTCATAGTGTTATAAATGTCGTGAACAGATTAATTGAGTCAGGTGATGGTTCAATGGACTTCCAAGTGTTGGGCAATGAAGTTAGATTATTTGCAGCGATTACTTGTTGGTTTAAACGTGGATGACTCTGTAGTAGCAATGGTGGGACAAGCATACAGCGTGTTGAATGAATTGGATAATGCAGATGAGGAGCTAGAAATGAGATCAACAGCATCGACAGTAAGAACTGGGAGGTGTGGTAGACCGTCGTTTGATGTAAAAAGAGAGCAACTAGTATATTTACTTGAACAAGGATTTAAAGTGTCTGATATTAGCAAAATTGTGGGTGTATGTCAAAGAACAGTAGAAAGGAGAATGTCTAGTTTTGGACTAAGTGTATCAGGTTTGAGACATTTTATTTACAATGGCAGATTGCATTTATTTTCCACACAGGGGGGGGGGGTTGAGGACATCTTTTTACCAGTTAAATTGTGACCCCCTGGAATTCAGTTTATATACCCCTCCCTGGAATTTCCTGGGAATTCATTGCTAGATACTGTACCACTGGAAAATAGTTTTAATTGCATACCATCCCCTGGATTTTGGTCTCTAATCACCCCAACCCCTGGATTTTTGCACCCCAACCCCTGGATTTTTGCAGATTTTTTCACCCCTCCTCCTACATTTTCCATTCCTTTTTTTACACCCCTCCCCTGGATTTTCCATTGTCCTCGACCCCCCCTGTGCGGAAAATAAATGCAATCTGCCAATCTTAATCCCCGAGCCGACGGCGCGAAGCGCCGTGCGAGGGTACTAATTCCCCCTGGCTATTTACACCCGGGGAAACGAAAGCATTAGCGAAGTCTAAAGTTCATCAAATATCGCGGGCGTGACCAACAAACTTGAGTGGGTGGTCATCCTCACTGATCTCAAAAATATGGCTGATTGCTTGTGGGAGTGGGATAAGGCAGATTTCAATTTTAAAAGACATATATTTGGAAAATCGTTTCATATACAACAAGCTTGAAGCAATTTTGTTTGAAGAAATGAGAAGAATTGATTTACTATGGGAAATTGTTAAATATACGGCAAGTTTGCTTTGAATTTTGTTGCTTTAACTTTTTGCCTAAAAACATGAACTGTTTTCCTTTTCAACGAAGTTCTAAGTTTCATAAATTACCGTTTAATTTGAACAAATTGATTTGAAGACTGAACTAAAATTACCTAACAATTTGTTTTGTGTGTAAAACAGTTTATCGGCAAATGTAGTTTAGTTGAATGAACATTTCAAAAATTTCACGAAACGTTTCAAGTTAAATTTTACATTAAATCAAAGCTCACAAAATGCAAAATAATATACCTACAGTGTATATTTCGGAAATTTATTGTTGTATAGTTAAAAGTACGAATCTTTCAACTATTTTGCAGTTTTGTACGTACAAAAATATGAAAAAATTAAATTTTTTTAAAAGATATCGTGTTGTCATGGCAACACTTGAGCGAGAGCCTGCGTTCAGTGTCGGCCATTTCTGAATACTTCATGTTAATTTAATGTTTGGAAAATATCGGCGAGGGGTTACTGCATGCATGTATTTCTAGTTACAATCATATCATGGATCCATTCTACAGTAACATAAACTAGTGACCATGTTCTTGTGCCTGCCTCTCACAGGAGAGTTCCCCCGTCATAAACTATTATGATTTGCTCCCACATAATGAAGGCTGGTTCCATTTTTGGTTCGAAAATGGTTTGGCAAAGGGGAGGTGTATATCTTAGAAATCATGGTATTCCTACTAGAGGAGGTGAATTTTCTATGACGCCAGTGCATATCTACTGCATATTAAGGAAATCATGCCAGGAATTTCAAAACGTTCATGGGGGAAGGCCCCAGACCTCCCCCTTATCTCATTTTCTGTAATCCTTTTATTCTCTCTCTGCCCCCCTCTTTATTCTCTGTCAGCCCCCCCCCCCCTAGCTTAAAAACTATACCATTTAAAAAATGATTTAATTGTTTATCAGGCATGTATAGCAACATAAGTGATGAACAACTGGATGAATATGTCATCACAGCTTCGAGAGAACATCCTGATATTGGTATTAGAATGCTTAAAGGCTATTTACGAAGTAAAGGTATGCGTGTACAACGTCATAGAATAAGGTCAGCATTGCTCAGGACTGATCCAATTGGTTTGCTTGGACGTTGGCAAAAAGCCATTAAAAGACGATGTTACAATGTAAAATTCGCGCTTTCACTGTGGCACATCGATGGTAACCACAAGCTCATCAGGTATTTTTATTTGTAAAAATGTAGCATTTTAATTCATACATTATTTCAATTAGCCTTTCTCACACCACCATTTTTGGGGTACTTTTCTGCCAATCCTGTGAGTGTAATGGCGACATTTTATAATTTTATCGGTGTATGATGGTAAATTTACCCTGTAAATAGTTAGTTTGTTCTGAAATATTGCTTTTCAAAATTGTTATAATCGTTTACGAAAAATTACAGTACCCCAAAAAATGTGGTGTGAGAATGGCTAATTACTGCTCACCGCAAGTCCACAATATCGACACCAAGAATTTCTTATAGGTGGAGAATTGTAATCCATGGAGGAATAGATGGATACTCTAGGATCCCTGTATACCTTAAAGCTTCAAGCCCAGGGAGAGGTAGCATGATTACAGGTAATATATTGTTCCTAAAGCACCTTCAGTCCACATTTTGCTATCATGTTGTCTTTTTTAATTAAATAAACTTGATACAAAAGCGGTCTATTCATTCTCATTAATTTAAATAAATGTTAAAACTTATTTTCTGGTGTTTGATTATTGATACTATTTGAATGTCCACTTTTCAGCAATCAAAATTAAAGCTTGTTTTTCAATGTGCTAATTTTTTTTGTGAACGAGTTATGTGACCTTAACTTTTCGCAACAAACTTTCTCAAAACCTGATAATGTTGCATATCAAATCTCTACCCAAAAAAATATCCTTTCTCCTGAAAACATTCCAGATATGAACAGTTTATTTTTTCCTAGGTCGAAGCACACATAATCAGAGGATAGAACATTTATGGCGGGATGTATTTGCAGGTTGTATAAGCCTCTTTTATGACCTCTTCTATTTCATGGAGGATCAAAGCATCTTAAACCCATCCAGTGAAGCACATCTGTGGTGTTTACATTACGTGGTCTTGCCTATTATTAATAGGCACATTAACACATGGAAGAATGCTTGGATAAACCACCCAATTAGAACAGAAAAAACAAAAGTCCGATCCAGCTATGGGTTACAGGACTTCGGATGGCAGGAAGCCTCCAACCAACTGGTAGCAACACTATTTTGGTAAAGTATTCTTTACTCTGATCTTAAGATAATTGTTTCTGACTATTGAGTAGCATAAGGCCATATAAAACAAAATACGTATGTTTCATCGCAAATATAAATTTCAACAAATTTTACAAAATGGACACACAGTCATTTATACATTGTCTTTTGTGCAATTACTTCATAGCTAAAAAGGCTAACCGGTGTAATAATCAAAATTATTGTACAGTCATAGTCATGAAGGTGGAAATCCATCCCATTTTCCACCATAAAAATGGTAGTTTTTGAACAAATAAAGCCAGTTCGACCAAATATATGTATTGTATACTGTACATGCAGATATGAAGTAGCTAATAAGGGAGAGTTGAGAATAGTGCTTTTGAAATGAATATATTAAATATTAATTAAATGAGAGTCGTTATTCTTAATTCTGTCAGTTTCAACGCTTGTTTTTGGCCCATGCATGTGTTATTAATAAGAATTTGAGATTATGAATTTAAACTAAATAGTGTTTACAAAGTTTTGATTATTATTTCGTAGCCTTTATAGCGGTATAAACTGTAGTAATTATTGTATGGCTTGGAACATTTTGTAAGGAAAATACTGTGCATAACCTATAGGCTATAACGTTATAAATTGATAAGTGTCATCAAGTTTGTTTTTTTTTCACTTTGAAAGCTAAGCAGTAAGTAACATTTTTGTAGTTAATTAAATGTGCCGGAACAAAACTTTAAAACTATTAAGGGTATATACATGTAGTTTAACCCTTTGGAACAAAACTTGACATGAATGTTATTTTTACGGTTCTATACACACTAATGGAAGGTAAAACCTTGGGAACCAAACTTTAACGCGATGTCCATGTTTTTCTTAACCTTGGTAATCAACATGTTTCACTGGCAGCACAATTCTTTAAAAACAGGTTTCAGAAAGTGGCAGGTCAATTTCACCAGCATCAAATTTAACAAGGAAATATTGTGTGTTGCATGGTATTATTACACTACCAGTCCAAAAGCACACTAAATCCAACACTTGAGCACCATCTGAAATAAGCAGTAAATGTTAAAAAAATTGAATATTTATTTAATTTAAGTAATACAATAAAATAAATATGAAGCATGGCTATGCGTTGTTGTATACTAAGGCCAGGTAGCGATGTTAAATGGTAGTAATTTTTGTTAAATGGTGTTAATCTTTTTTTCTAAAATTGACCGTTGAATAGTACAGCATAAAGGCCTGATTCCACAGGCGCTTTCTTCGGCGAAATGCGAAAAATTTCGTGTGAAATTACTAAAAATTGTGTGTGAAATTACTGCATGCGCAGTACAGTAAAGAAAAATTGGGCTTTGCGAGAAAAAATTTCACTTCACCATTGTCATTGAGTAGAAGTCAGTTCTACTTACTGCGAAAGCAGAAAAGTAGGAAGTTTGAATACAATCGCTCATGTACAAACATCTGAATTTCGCAGTTAGGCACATGTACATGCACATGTACATTTTAAAATGACGTGTCAAAGACGAGTCGTTTTAAATTTCATAAATATCACATTCAATCGTTGGAATATTTGTCCCTATTCTTTGAAAACAAGGGTTTAAATAGACAAATAGTTATATTTTGAAAATTCATTTCCTAAAAGTTAAATTTAAATTCGGCTTATATAATATAATTTCAGTATACAGTTGATGCAAATTAGGACAACATTTGTGTGAGACGTACAGATATCGATACGAAATGGATTCTGTAAAACACTATTTTAAAAATAAATTTTACAAACATGTGCAGTACCTTCCTTTCTCTCTGCAATTTCTTTAATGTAGGATCGGAAAAACATAGCAGTTGTCTTATTAGATTCTGATACATCTTCTTCTTCAAACCTTGTGTGCTCCAACAAATGTTCGGCAGGAATAATTCTTTCTTGATCAGTTGGAAACACCACTTGGGTAAGAATGCGGTTTTTTATCAAAAAAGTGATGAGTGATACTTCTTCCATGCCTATAAAATTCATAAAAAAACAGTGCTACTACAATAGTGGTATCATTGGTAAACTTTATTGATACTATTAGCAAGATGCACTGTACCTTTTTGAATGTCAAGTAGTTCCATTCGTCTCTTATCTTTTACATTGAACATCATTAATCCTTCAATCATCATATTATAGAGCTCTTGAAAATTGTCTGGGTCGAGGCCAGCTTCCATCAAGTACGACTGGAGGTCTTCTCTTGTCTGCGATATATCTATGGGATATTGACTATTCTCACTACGTTCACAATTATCCAACTAAATAATAAAAAATGTACTCATTACCATTAGCAGTTCTGCATGTATTCACAAACACTGACAATGCTGACACGTAATTGGTGTATGCAATTTTATGATTCCATACAGTATTAAATTGTACAATTTAAAACCAATAAATGCTTGCGTCACATCATGGTATAAAAAAGTTTAAAATGCAGTCAACCTTGATCCTTCTGTGTACGAGATTTTTATGCAGTACTAAATTCATTGTGATGAAAAATTAATTCAATCCACAAGGCCTTATTACTAAATTTCAATCTAAAAAATATGACCGAACAAGATTTCAATCCTTGTAGTTAATTTTAGTCATTGGTTGAATAAATTATTAGTTGAAATCTGGCGCATTTCTTAGTTTAAATTTGTGAAAAACTGTAGTTGTCGATAGCATTCTTAAGACATTGAAATAATAAAAAAATGTCAAAAACATTAAACTTACATGTTTCATTATTATCTGCCTGAGGTAAATGTCTGTAATATCTTCAACAACAATCGAAGGGGGCTCCTGTGATTCTTCATCTGTTGACAGAAAGTGCTTTATTGCTGGGGACAGACCTGAAGACCCGGGCCACCATGCAAAACGCTATGCCCAATTATACGGCCAACTGCCTTAAACGTTCCCATCAGACGTAAGGACTGGTCGTGAATAGGTGGACGATGATCTTGTTCTCCCTCGAAGAAAATCAATGGTTTTCCATTTGGGGTCAGAATGCCTTCATCCACAACTTTAATTGCGTTTACTAAATACTCGCGGACAGGTCCACTGCCAACAGCTTCCTCTTCTTCAAATCTCACTTTTATGTTAGCCTTCAAGTTCAAATCAGGCTTCTAGCTTGTATATTCCAATTATTTCTCTTCTTAATTCACTCACTCCGTCAATTCTACACACACAAATCTTTTGTCTGGGCGAATCCTCTTCAATCACTTCCTTCTGATAACCCAAGAGAGCAGTAGTAGGTGTGGAATATGAGGCACAACTTTTACCTGTTTCAACAGATGTCTGCATGCCACTTCTATCACTTCCATCAACTTTAACAACTGGAATTCCTAAGCAAAAAAATGCAGTTTTAATATAAATTTGTTTTAGAAACTAGTTAACTAGATGTAGAGCATTTAAATACACATATTAAATGTTTTATAATTGTTTTCATGATAATACTGTAATTTTGTTTAGGAGGAGTGGGAGGGAGTTGGGGATGCGCATCTCACAGCAGCTCCCCCCCCCCCCATTTACAAACAGTTTTACCAGTAACTAAAAATTACCCAGCAGATGATGTGCTGCGGCATCTGCATTCCCATGGCACTGATGTAACACCTGCTGAATATCGGCGGACATTTGAGGGGAGCACATTAACCAGGGACCTGCAAAAATTGAGGCTCAGAAAAAAAAGCCATTTCATGCACTTTCTTGAACAAAATTAAAGAACTTATACAGCAAATATATTTTGAAACAGTTTTTTTCATGTTCAATTTTTAATTAGTTTGAATGACTTGACAAGGGGCTCAGCGATCTATAATACCAGCGAATGAAGCATACATTGATGAACCAACAAGTTGAACTACCTGTAAATAAAAAAGATCTCACAGCTTTAAAAAAGAAAACATACAATGTCAAATACCATATTTTCCCCTTAACATTTATAACATTTCTATATCTGTATATGCATATACTATTACACATGAGTTGTATAGGATGCTCAAACTGTTAAGGATATCGCATTTGTGAAAAACGAGATTTGTCAACAAAAGTTTGCTAATCATGTACATATAAGAAACTCAGATAATTTGTTTGACTTTATACCTCTCAAATATGTTTTCAACATCTGCATGTCTTTGTCTCTATAAAAAATATAACAAAATTTTGTGCAGTCGGATTCATTTACATTATGTACAGCAGCTAGACACACAATTTGAAATCACCCTAATAGCAACACAAGTTACAGTAGATGTGAAAAACCATAATGGGGGAATATGCCAGAAGCTGCTGAAAAATATTGATGTGGCTGGCTACCTTTCAGAATCCAAATGGAAGCCTGGCAGCATGGTGTAGTATTTGTCAACTTTATTAACTGAACATCGTCTATTTAATGTACATTAAGCTAATACAGTAGTTCAAATACCCTTGGCTTGGTAAGAGAAGAATTGTGTTTGACCTGGTGTTCTTTCATGGAATTCATCAGAATTGAATCACCACAGACAAGGCAATCAACCACTGGCCCAGCAATTATTTCCTGATGAAGAAATGAGAATTTAACTATTGACAAATGTATAAAAGGAGACAATTTTAATATTATTTATAAAACTTATTAACGCAATTAATGTTAATTCACCAACAGCATAGATATTTACAAGCACTTTGGTTTACTGCCGGTTTTCAGAAGAAAATTGAGTTTTTTACAGTAGGTGGGAAGGGGGCTAAAATAGATTTGCTGTAGTGCTGCATGTGTGTCGTTCATTCTCAGTGCATGGCCGTGCTTTAGTTTGCTGGCTGTCGTATTAACTATTCCTCTTACAACTAAATATTCCCTTTTGGCAGACTAGATTGAGTAATACTATTTACTACCATAATTATATACTGGTAGTAGAGAAGTGCTTGTATTATAAATATCCCAAACCACTATTATACTGCATGAAATAGCTATATAATTGCCATGGTGGTCATGGCCGTAGCAAGATGAGTGTTGCATATTCATATATTTGTGTAGAACTGCCCGATGGATTTCTTTTAAAAGTGATTGCTTTTACGGTATGTGAACATGAATATATGAATATACATCCCCACCAATGAAACCAATTAGCCTTTCTCACACCGCCATTTTGGGGGTACTGTAATTTTTCGTAAACGATTATAACAATGTGAAAAGCAATATTTCAGAACAAACTAACTATTTACAGAGTAAATTTACCATCATGTACCCACAAAATTATAAAATGTCGCCGTTACATGGTGTTACGCTCGCAGGATTGGCAAAAAAAATAACCCAAAAATGGCGATGAGAAAATTATTAGGTTAATTCAACATCAAAATGATTGTATAATGCACATGCAATACCGGTACAAGCAATGAACAATCTTTTTTATTATTTAGCTTTGCCAACTAGGGCAGGGTTACCACAACAGCATATATATGCCAATTACTGTGGGCCCTTTTACCTACACCATCCTGTCAACTTTCCCTGTGGGAGTACCCGGAGAAAACCCACAACTATCGGCAGAGTGTTGACTTTTACTCTTTTCACATGAGGACTGGGTTCGAGTCGCATTGAGAAAGTTCTCATTGAGGCTTGAACCTGCGGCTTCAGAGGTCAAAGGCAAGTGCGCTAATCACTTCGCCACCGAAGCACCATCTCTATAATTACCTGTAAATCTTGTTCCAAATTTTGACTATCATCCTTCAAGCATATATCTTTTTGAAGAGGCCTTATGTATATCTTGGCTTGGCTATGAAACCCACCATCTTCTCCACCACCTCTTTGAAACAACAAACACTCAAATCCACCAGCATCAAACAGCTTTGGATAGCACTTCATAACTTTTTCATACAAATAGGTCCTATCATCATTCAATTCTAACTCTATGCTGGAGTCACCAATACCAGCATTACATAATTCTGTTCTCTCTTTAACACTGGATGGAGGAATTTCAGCCTTTGTAGAAGATAAGCAAACAAACTTGAGAGTACACGACTGATTCTTTATCTTCTTACTTCCTTTCTGCTTTGAAGGCAACTGTTGTCTCTTTCCAAAACTGAACAATTTTCTGTGCTCAGAAATCGCTGATAAACCACTGACTGATGGTTGATTTGATGGTAAAGAGTTACTTGATGTTAATGTCTGGTTGCTATTTAAGGTTGATGGCCGAGAAGCATTTGAAGTTAAGGCCAGGCCATTGTTATTCTGTGTCCTTGGACTACTATTTTCAAAGTTGGGTGTGTCTACAATGTTTAGTAGGGAAGTTTAATCAAAGGTTTTTAAAGTTATACTGCACATAGTCATACTCATAGTTTAAAAATATTGCAAAAATATTGATGGGATTTGATATTGTAAAATTTGTCAAGACAGAGCCCCTCATCGCCAACCGTGCGTAAGAACGGCCCTGGCACAGAGGAAGTAAGGGATTTTTTCGGGTCTTCCATGTTCTAGCAACTAGCAAGTGCCATAAAAGAGGCCATCACCCCCTGAAAACATATTAAAATTTAATGTTCCACATGGGTGAATATATACCTTTATGGCACTTGCTAAGAACATGGCCATCAGAAATGTGTACCAACAGTGTATGGTCAGACTTAGTACTCTGTGGCTTTGGATATGAGAATATCTTCAACCTTGTCCCCAGGCTTTTGTGGAGGTTAATAGCCTGGGGGACCGAGATTGATTTCTATTGTGCTGTAACTAATATTCACTTCAGTTATAAATTTAAGCATTAAAAAAATTTTCCTTAAGTTAAAGTCATACCCAGACAAACTAGAATGATAAAAATACAGAAAAGCAAAGGTCATTGACAGGGTGGTTCGGTTTCTAAATGTAATGGCCCTTCATTTGCTTTCAAAACCACCCAAGATAATTTGCCAATACATTAGAAATGTAATCGCATTGTTTTAAATAACTGGAAAACTTATCACCAGCCTGGTTTCAGTGCCGTGCTGGCCCACTTAAACATAGTAAATTCTTAGGGACAGACATTAAATATTTGAGGGGGGGGGGGAGCAAATACCAAAAAAAAAATTTGCACACAGAAAAAATCCAGGGAAAAAATATCGTGCACATCAAACTATTGAGAAAAAAATTGAGCAAGTTGAGAGAGCAGTAGAGCTAAGTTTTTAAAATGTAATACAAGTGGATTTAAACTTTGAAATGGTCATTTCAGAAAATCTGGAGACTGTAAATATTCAAAATATTCTCAATTTGGCAACAACCATGGTGCTGAAACATGTAATAAATGACACATACAACGCTACAATTTCTGAAAATTTTTTAGGTGCCGTCATACATGAAAAAAACGAAGTGACTAGATGACTGGCAGCCAGCTATCTAGTAAACTGCTGGCTATATAGCGACTATAATTAAAGTTGAATTTTTATAAGATAAACCGTTCCCTAACCCCAAACCCTCCTCTAACCTTAACCCCTAACCTAACCTTTTGAGAGTTGAAAAGGCAGAGAAAATTAAAAGTTGGAAAAAATTTTAAGAAAAAAATATAATAAAGTCAGACGTTAAAAACACAAACCGACCCCAGCTGGGTTTTACTTTTCTCACACAGTGCCTTTGCCATATGCGCTAACAGCAAGCACGGTAAAACTAGTAGAAATGTTTTTATATGTAGCTATAGTGGCAGTTTACTAGATAGCCGGCTGCAGTCATCTAGTCACTTTGTTAAAAAAATATCTTGCAAAGGAATGTAATAAAAATAATCCTGCCAGCTGTTGAGGTATGAAAAAAAAATCATTTGACCCCCCCCCCCAATATTTAATGGTCCATCCCTTATTACTTACACAAAAAATTCACTTTGCGTGACAACTGCCAAAAAATTCACTTTCATGACGAACCTTACGCTACTTAAATAAACTCATAACATCTTACGCCCATTAAGACCTGTTTTATACATAGAATATGTCCATTAAGGCCTGAGCGACGATATATTGTTGGTGACTCTTAGTAACGTCGCCCGTACTTCGCTGAGTTTTGATCTGTCCATATTTTTATATTTTTATACATAAAAGACTGTAAAAGATAAAAGACTGTAAAAGTACGTAAATATTTTTTTAAAAAAAATGGCGCCGAAACTGAAGCGCCCATGAAACTTTGGTCAGTGGTTGATACAATGAGCCCGCAGTATGTTTCTTATTGGATTGCGGTTGGATATAAAAAGTTGCCAATACAAAAAGTTGTATGTAAAATATAAAAAGTTGGATGGAAAAACTTGTATATAAAATACAAAAATTTGTATATAAAATAGAAGAAGTTGACTGGAAAAAAGTTGTGTATAAAATGGAAAAAGTTGTATACAAATTACAAAAACTTGGATGTCAAATTTAAAAAGGTGTATCACAAATGAAAAGGTCGAATTTTGGCGGGGATAGGACACCATACAATCTTACCCTGTGTTATTAATTACGTTATATCTTTATATAAATAGTATACTGAAAATCATTAGAAAATCCTGTGTTATTAATTTATTACGTTATATCTTTATATAATAGTATAATGAAAAGCACTTACATGTGTTTCCTGAAAGATTTTAACGAGAACCAGCCAAGATTGGCGTTGATAAGAGGTTAACGGCCATAGCTGGGGTTGACATGATGATTAACTGCAAGAAATAATTCAAGGCTGGTCACTTTGACCGTTAATTGGACCAATGACAATGCAGCGTGTAATTCGAATTTGAAGGCCATGAATTCAGATTGTGACGAAGCTCGGAAGATTAGACATTTGTAAGTTTCAATTGGCATTTTCTGCAGGAAGATTATTGTTCAATTCTGTTAATGAAAAGTATATTATGTAAAATTTATCGCTCTTCCGATGTAACGTAATTTGGCGAGGATGTGACAGCCAAAGTTCACGTTATTTGGTTGATATCGTTTGTCCCAATTAGTCCAATTAACGGTCAAAGTGACCAGCCTTGTATTATTTCTTCCTGTTAATCATCATGTCAACCCCAACTATGGCCGTTAACCTCTTATCAATGCCAATCTTGGCCAGTTCTCGTTAAAATCTTTCAGGAAACACATGTAAGTGCTTGTCATTATACTATTATATAAAGATATAACATAATAAATTAATAACACAGGATTTTCTAACGATTTTCAAGATACTATTTATATAAAGATATAACATAATTAATAACACAGGGTAAGATTGGGCTGCCTGTGTTAAGACAATTGCTAAGGAAATTTCTGAACCCCTGTCACACATATTCAACTTGACTTTCCTTAGTGGAACTATTCCTAATGGCCTAAAAATAGCTCTAGTTACCTCCAATTTACAAAGCAAATAAAAAAATAGGTACGCAGTGCGTACATGTTGCATGCCATCAACCTCATGACTCAGAATACTATACTGAAGTCCATCTGATGGATTGTTTTCTGCGTAAGCGCTACTCGTCATCATTCGTTACTTGGCAAATACTGTAAACAGAAGCAGTCGCTGCCAGGTCCCAGCCACTGATCTGAAATAAGACTGGATAACGCATCTATAGTATACAAAAGTGAAGCCGGAGGTCACCGGCCGCCACCCGATTCTGGGGCCCCACTTTTGTATAGATTTGTATTACAGACGGTAGTTTTTCGCGTTTTTTGCCTTGGCTACGTTTCCGATCGGGCCAATTTTACAATCACAACGATAGAAGCATACAAGACGAATTTTGAGCAAAAAATTTGGAGTATTATGGCTTTATAATGCCGCGAAACGGGATTTACAACTCTGAAGGAGTGGAGAGCCTCA